TCAGATGATCACAGAATAGGCAAAATAACTGCATGTTATAATTGTGGCAGAGTGTAATGACTGTGCATGATGGAGAGAAAAGAAAGTTCAAGACCTAAAGTTGATATCTAAGTGCCCACTCTCACTGATTCTCATAAGATTCAAAAAGCACTTTTGATGATTTTCACCATTTTTTTTAACAGCTGCACTGCCTGAGTTGTTCAGAGTTTTAATGTAATAGCTACAATGTATTTTGCTGCTACTTTCTTCTCATTACAGATGAAATGCCCAAGACATATTCATTCAATAGCACAGGGAAAAGAGAAACAAAGAAGAAAAGAGAAGAAAGGTCACTGTCAGGCTAAGATCAAGTCTGGAAAGTTTCAGTTTGAGACATGAGCAGTTCAGGAAGTTATAAGCAACTGAAACAATAAAGGAATTATAATTGAAACACTACAAGAATTTTAACTATAGCTCTTTCCATGCTAACCAAGTATTATTTAACGTATTTCAGCAGCATTCAGAAACTCTTCTTGACATGAACGATCTGTGCTTTCAAGATCACTCCCAACCTCCTTGGAAAAGCACAAAAAAGAGATGATTGGTATTGGCCACAGCTGCAGCTGATGGAGATCAGCACAGCTCCCTCACTTTCAGTTCAGTGAGTCACAGGAAAAGCAGCAAAAAGCAAACAAACCAAAACTTGTAACAGCAGATCTAAGTTTACTTCTGCATTGCTTCCCCCCAGCATAGAAGTGGTGTCTCTGTCAGCTGCTCACCAGAGCAGGTAATTGAACTGTGGTCTGTTCTGATGCCTCCTCCAAGGCTACAATTCCCCAGCTGAAGAGAACTGGATGTGCAAATCCCAAGTTCAGTGGTTTTGTTCTCACCTCCTCTGAGGTGAGACATTCCCATCATGTCCTTGCCCTGCTCCTCAAAGGAGGGCCATGAATGGAATGAAGTCTAATCAAAATTATCCCTGTCTCTCCAAAACAGATTTATATTTGTATACAGAATAAATGCACCTTTATTTTTCCCTTCACTGTTCCAAACACAGACTCTAGAAAGGCATCATATGATTGAGTAATTCCTGTTGAGATAATCTTAGAGAGATCATTTTTCCAAACAGTACTCTGCTAAAAATTTCATCCATGAAAATTCTGCATGCCACCTCAAGCATTTAACTGTCTACACATACTGAAAAAAAGAAAAAAAAAAAAAAAGAAAAAAAAAAAAGAAAAAAAAAGAAAACTATGTTTCAAATTCGCTCTACTTGACTCCAATTAAGAAGTGTTTGCGAAGAGTAATGCATCAAGTTTCTAGTGCAATGTGCTAGAGGAACTGCCACCAGCAGCATCTTCACTTCTTTCCAAACACTGTGATACTGTGTTTAAGTCAAAAACTAGGTCATAAACTTCTCTATTGGAAAGCGTTTATAGCTGTTTGGACAGGCTTATTCTGTTCAAGAGGTTATAATAATAAAAGAAGCTTGTAAGACTACTTTTTCCAAACTCTTCGTAGGTCAATGCCAGTTTGGGAAATTGGCTCATTATTTATCCTTGTTTGGCTCCTTCAATATCAATTTCATTTTTGTTTTGGCCTCCTTCTGGACAAATATAAAACTTACCGTTTCATCTAATTAACAGGAGGTAGACTATAGAAAAAAAATCTCTCATTTATTCTAGTTCCAGAATCAATTTTACAAAAACACTGTCAGGGTTTCAAGAAGCATTCAGATGATGAGTCCTGCCAAAGTTTACAATCTAGTTATATCCTGCTACAGAAAAAAAAGAACATTAAGAAAAAAAAGGCAAGAAAAATCTACACAACCTGCTCTGTTTTTACAACTTTATACAAATCTCTGGCAAGAAACAATCTACCTCACATATTCACATGCATCCAGAGGATCTGTGGATAAGCTTTATTCGCCTTAGTCTAATCAAATTGCCCAATTCACTTTCTCCATTTCCAAACTCTCTCAACACATTTTTCTCAGCCACTCCTCCCTGTTTTCCTGTTGTACAGGAAAACAAAGCAGATTTTCCCTTCTCCCCATCACATCTGCCTTTTGAAGGCTTAAATCAGCAAGCAAACAGCTCACCCACAGTTCTAGGATTGCAAAGCTTTTTCATTTGAGGTTCCTTCTTTTGGTTCTCCATTAAATACCTGGTCATTTTGTACCACAAGCAAGTTCACTGTCCATCAGCCTCACAAAAAGGATTCAGGAGAAACCTTTGCCCATTTTCTGGGGCCTTGAGGAACAAGGTGCCAAACAGTTTCTTCCAAGTGAGAAAGCTGGTTTTGTAGTCTTTCACATGTTTTTCCATGAGTTATCAGAATGCACACAGTAGAGTCATCCTCAAGTGAAATAGCCTTAAAGGATATGCTTCATCCAATTTGCCTTGTATCTCATAAGGATTTAGCCCAAAATATGGACACAGAAGGGAATAGAAAAAAGTGTACAATATTCATCTGGTAATCACTTCTTAAGTCCAAGATCTCCACTGTTTTTAACAAAAACAAAAATCAAGAGCAAAAATAAACCCAATTTCTATCCAGCTGCATAAATTCTGTCTCCCAGATATTCTCTGACAAGAAGGAGAATCACAATAATTAAATTATTCTCCTTCAACTGGCTCTAAGATTTTAGCTAAGAGCTGTTGTAGTTTCTGCTTGCTTTTACAGAATTTGGAATGCCTTTACATGGAAAAGTGTCATATTCCGAATTCTGTAGTTAGCACACTCATGTCTCAAATTTTATGTTTTCAGAGAGACCCACCTTCAGCCTTTTCCAGTTCAGCAATGCTACCAAAATGGTTAACATCATATCTATTGCATAGTGTTTTTCTGAGACTCCATCTAAGCAACTCAGGTAGATTTGTGCAATATTCACACTTTCTTCCATAGCCTCGACACATCTGGTGCAATATGTACAGTCAGGTACTCAGTGCAATGATTTTTCTGCAAAGGCATCATTGGGCAACTCTTTTTTTTTGTTTTTGTTTTTTTTTTTGGGGGGGGGGGGGGGTTTTGGTTTTTTTAGTCCATCTAAAGTTTCTGTGAACCCAAAAGCAATGTTTTAAATGTGCAAAAGAAAAACAACAAGAAAAAAATATAGTTCAGTTCTGATTAATGGTGCTATATTTTAATGTCTTGCTGGGAGGCTCAACCCATTGAATATGTATCCTCAGGATATTTTAAATTTATGGTAGTTTCTTCCAAACAATTTTGAATCCTGTCAGGAAAAAAATGGCAGGATTACTGCTTAACAGATGACATAGCATCTTCGCTGTACCTTTCTGTAACTCTAGGAGGTACAGAACACAAACTTCAAATTCCTATTAAAATCACAGGAAATAAACTAAAAGATGAAAGTAAGACAGGTCTGAGCAGCTGCCTCAAACCTATTCATTAGGAAGGCACTAGCAGTAGGAGGGCACAGAAGGCCTGCAGTTTCATTTCACTTCAAGGAGATTTTAGTCTAGCTGCTTTTTAAACTCTCTTTAAAGGTTTGCACCCATCATCCTTTCCTACCACCCCACTGGAGCAGAAAAGCCTCAACTCAACTACTGAGTCTCCTGGCATGTCAACCCAGTCCCCAGGTTAAATGAAATTAGCAAGTAGGAGGCTCAAAACTAACTTCAGGGACTACTTGCTTCCTCCCTTCCTGAATTCAGCTCGGGTATCCAGAACAGTACAAAGTGGCAGAGCCTAAAAATCCACCTGGGATAAAACCATAACCTCAAAAATCCACAGAAAAGGAAAGTATAGCCAAGACTACTCATCAAAGAAGCCAGCACTGACACCGATGGCCATCTATGGAGCATGAGAGGTTGATTTGGGAAGCAACCACATGCTCCACTCTCCTCTCTTGGCACCAGCTGTCAGTCATAGGATGACAGCTGGGACATGAGACAGGAGGCCTTCCTAAATCTCTGTGCTAACCTGGTCCTTGATCCACAGATACTTACATTGTTATGTGTTTTCTGTATTTATGCTCTTGCACTCTGCAAGTTAGAAAATAAAGTAAACTCCATGGTCATGCCTCTATATATTTTGTGTCCTTGCCTTAAGACAACTCTTTAATGCTATACCTACACATCTGGCTCCAACCTGAACACAATGCAGTCTCCACCACGTCTGTCTTCAGAATGCTCTCGCAAAGGAAGATGAGATGAGGACAATTGGAAGGCCAAAAACATTAAACCCCACGTGTGATTCAAAAAAGCACTTACACATAAGGCTAAGCCTTTCACTGTAGCTGAAATGTGCACTCAGCAGTACCCACCATCACTTTAGAGTACTGGCTGCCTGGCAGCTCTGCCTTGCCAGCACAAGGTGATCCTCAGGCACACAGAAAACTCAATAAAGGCACACAATACAGCCCTGGTCATATCAGAATTGTGTAAAAAAAACGTACTCTGGACACACTATTTTCTCTACAAGAAATACAAGCATATTGGTGTGTAGGCACTTAGTTCCCACTGATATGGAAACTACAGGTTTTGCCCATGTTTTCCCACAAAGCTTGTGGCACAGCAAGCATTAAATCAATACCAACTCTTGCTTGCCTTTGTGCAAGCTTTAACAAGCTTGCATTAACGTCCAAAGACATAAAAAACTTGACAACTATATCCTGAATTGGCACAGCCTTAAAGAACAAGCTAAGTTACCTAAACCACACAAGAAATGCTGAAATCGTTCTTATATTCAGACCTATAGTTGTAACCACTAATGTTAAATAAAATTCCAATGGAAATTTATACAGTAGCAAGAATAAAGATGATAACAGCAGCTGCAGCATCTGTTACCAGGGTTACCAAATCTAGAAGGAAACAAAAAACTTGACACTGATTTACAGAGATATATGTAAACATTCATGTAGACAAGAGATTTATATTTTTTATTCAGTGAATTTTAGTAGTGTAACATTAAATACTGCTTCTATTGAAGCTGAACCAAAACAATGTGAGAAAAGTTAATGAACAGCCACACCAAATCGCATGTATCTGATTTCTTACCTGAAGTGTGTTCTGTTCGTCCATCCATCATTACTGCTGTCCCAGGGCAATGCTTCAGCAACCACATAAAAAGATCTGGTGAACTCCTAAGTATTTAAAAAGAAAGAGCATGTTACACAATATAAAAGCCACCAAATCCATTGCAAATAGAAAAATAATATTTCAGAATTCAGTGTGACACTGAATTTGCAAGGATTTTTTTTTAGTTTAAATGACTTAGACTTTCTCCATGCATTCAAAATTGTGATATGTTTTGCTGAGGCAGAATCAGAACCACAGGCAACAAAATTACTTACAAGACTAATTATAGATGGAAAAAATCACCGTGACATGCAAAAATGGAAGAATCAAAAGAGAAACAATAATCCACAGTTGGTCTGGTGATTTGGCAACTATGCTGCATGTACGTATTCACTTGTTGGTACTAATTCACAGTAGTTCTAGAGAAGTTTTTCATTTCTCACAGAAAAAAAATAACATTTCCAGATTATGGTTGCATTTTATAGAAAGAATTACTTATGCTAAATGTGAAATACATCTCTCATTACTATTTTTTTCTTTTCAGTTGGAAAGCTCTATGTTTAAATATCCAGGTACAAAGTATACTTTAAAATTCTGGACACTATGCTATGTTTAGTGCTGCATTTTGACTTTAGAACCACAACATGAGTACATTAAAAAGCTCTGCAACTTACATCAGTTAAACGGTATCTCTGCAAAGTCTTCTTTTTATAACTCAAATACCGAATTTGAAAAAATGTGCACAGCTAGTGCTACATGTGTCTACTTGATTAACAGAGCAACATTGCAGTCAGGAAATTAACCTTTCAGATTTCATGTACTGCAGTCTGCAAGCATAGCACCATAAACTGCATGGACAAAACATGCTTTCAAGGGCACAGGAAAAGTCCTTCTCCATAACAGCATACAAGATTGTGAGCTACATCTATAACACCCATCTCCTCCCTGCTGCACATCATAAAATTATGTAAGGTGCACAATGCAGTCTCCGCATAAGTCCCCGTCAATTTCCAGCAACCTGCAGCATATGGAAGAACATTCTGATTTATGCGGCTTCAGTGCAGTTGTTTCTCATGGACAATCCAGCTGCCTACTCCAGTAAGTCAGCCTTAACAAAGGATCACTCAGGACAGGGCTACAACTGTGTTTGCCTGTACTTCATTTACAAAGAGACAAAGCTTACAAAATCCACCAGCAGAAACCCATCTCATCATCTACAAAACTTGAAGTGCTTTATCTAATATTAGCTTTTCTATTTTATGTCTTTTCACATCACCCCAGTTTTACATAACTGCCGAAAAGCCAAGAGAACCTCACCCCCAATTACACAGCAGAGGATTCAGTGTATGTCTGTGTTAAGAAATAACTCAAAATACAGCAGGATCAGGTAATATTCTTATTTCATTAGTGAATCCTCAGATATTTGTTCTGTTTACAAAATAATTAAATAAATCAATCAGATAAATGTAAGTTAGCCTTATCCAGAATGCATCTCATAAACTTGGTGTACATTCAAGCTATTGCGTAGTGGCAGGAGACCCTAAATTACAGCTCCCTATTCATGTTTAAATCCCACTGGTGTAAATTCAACAATGAGCCAATGAAGACCTAACACATAGAGAGAGACCTGACAGTTGCACCATTACCTGCAGTGGCTTTGATGTATAATTTTCATCTTATAACACTAAGGTCCAGAAAATACAGCCAAAATATCAGCCAACCTTTCCCAAAAAACATGCTGTTAAAACTCGAGTCTCTTCTAACAGAATCTCTGCAATTTCTCTGCAAGGAGACCCAACATCACTGAAGAATGCAGGAAAAACAGAAACCTCTCAAAAGCACAAGCTGCTTACCTGAACATAAGCCATTAAAAAAAATATAAAAGTAAAAGATAAAATTAGTTGATAGAAGAGCATACCTAATTTATTAACTGCAGTTCCTAACTTTAGAGGATAATTGCCACTTGTGACTAATTAAAGCCACATTAAGCATTAAACAAAAGACCTTCAAAAACATTTGTCTCAAAGAGTGCTGAAGCAAGGGTGTAGTGAAGAACAGAAGTTCATATGGACTTCTATTCAGACTGTGGCTCCTAGGCTATCCCTATGGACTGTTGGTAGTCTCTACAGTTTCAGTAGATGCGCCACAAAATAATCATGAAGAGGGAAAAAATCCAAAACCACATTCCTAAGCGTGCAAGCAACAAAACTTGAGAGAAATAAAAAGGGTTAGGTTACCAGTCAAAGTTAAGTGTGATTCTCATCTGGTCACAAATGAGAAACATTGTTGAAACAAAACACAATGTTATCCATACATTTTTCTTTTATCTGCAAAAGAAAAATATTAGGTTACCTACTGATGAAAGACAGATTGATGAATTCTTTTACAAGTTATATTTCTTTGAAAATATGTACTAGGCACGTAAACATGCCTCATAGGGGCAAAATCCCTGAAGCAAAAATAAGGAACACAAAAGCACAAGACAGAACCCAGAATGCTTTCCAGCTCTTGGTGTCAAGTCTGAGCCCATGCAGAACCTCAGACCATTTCTGGAGAGACCAGCCTTCATGCCTTGGTTTCGGCATCAGGAGCTCCTAGCAGGGAACCCAGATGTGCACTGTGGCATTTTTTAGACAGGGGCTCATGATGGTCACCAACCTACCAACCAGCTTTGCTCACCACCTCCAAAGCCCAAATAAAGCAGAAGACAAAGCTAATATCAAGATTTAACCTTTTAATTAGACAGATTTCGTCTGTTTGATTTCTTAAGCCAATCAGGGCAGTCACATTAGTCAGTTTTAATTACCTGACTTCCATCCCAAGGAAATGGATACAGTATTGCTTTGGCTACTCACACAATAGTGCTGCCTGAGGCTGACAGTCCTAAAATGCTGGGGAGAGAGTCAAGATCACTAGAATCAAAATCCTTCTGCCCTCTCCTTGCATGTCCATCAGAGATATGAGAGCCCTGAAGGATCAGACTATTCTGTGAGCAGTGCAATAGTGCACTCTACACCCCTTGCTTGAGTGGAAAGCATCTGTGCCACAGTCATCAACAGCCAGCTGAGATATGAGTGAGGAAGCCCCTGCCAGCAGCCCCTCTGCTCTCCCCCATTCCTGAGCAGAGGTGCTGCTTGGAGATGAGACAATGAGGTCTATATATGCAACTGAAGAGAGTTGCCCACCCTAGAATTCCTCCTTTTCTGCCAGGAAACATTAAAAGCTCTTTGTGCTGGCTGTGGAAATCAGTCATGCTCATCTGGAGCAATCCTTATGGGTATTGCTGGCTGCCAGGCTCACTTCCAGCATCACTGTCTACATGATGCCCCTTCTTCCTTCATACCAAGCAAAGTTTTGAGGCAGAAGATTGTGTGAAATGCATCAGAAAATATTGTTTCTGTCATAAATACTACCAATGCTTCTCAAAAGAACTAGACTAGGAATTATTTTACAAGAAAAAGATCATTTGTAGGCTTGGGACAAAAGCACTACCATGAACTAGGTCAATCCCATCATTTGTTACTGTTCTAAAGTACAATAACAGCGGGAAGAGAAGGTCAGGGTGGAATAATCATTTGTTAACAATTTTAATAGTAAAGCTTTATTGGTTTTCCCTATGGATTCTGATAGTTATTATAGTGAAATTAAGTGTTTTTCCTCCAAGTGAACTCTTGTTAATCCTTTTATTTAGGTTCAGAGCTACAGTACATGACCCTGCAAGAATATTCATCTACAGTCACAGCTGGAGCTGCAGACTCAGTGGCTTGAAGGAATTAATTTCTTTGCAAGGCAGAAGCAACTGAAAAGCCAAAGGCTTATCTACAGGAAAATCTGAATTTCACCAACTTGTACAAAGAACACGACAAACCAAAAAATCTATAATCAGACACCTCATTAAAGAGAGGAACAGAAAAAACTCTGGCACATTAGAGAGATAAAATTTGGGGGGGAGGAATATTCCGATGGCTTGGCATACCACAAAACAATCCTTAGGTTAAAAAAAAAAAATCTGAATTTTATGACCAGATTAAATTTTACTCTACTGAACTGCCACCAAGAGGTCATTCAGACTTCACAGTGCTTAACCCCAGCCACCCAGGCTTTCTATTATCTCATACCTTTGACAGTAACTTATTCATTTGCAAGATTTATCTGAAGCCAGTTATAACATTACCAAGTGAAAAGCCTGTTCTTGCTTCACCTTGGTTGTCAACATCTCAGTCTATTTTCTCCCATGTAAGTAAATAACAACAGAGGTGTAAAGAATACTGGAAAGTTAAACTGCTTGACTGGGCATAATGAAAAAATTGTCACCAAAAAAAATATTACAAAGTAGAACCTTGGCCATCAGGTCACCAAGTGTGGATATTAAAACAGGTCATGAACAGGCAGAACTTAAAACATGAGTGACAACCTGCACTTGGAATCTAAAATCTGGATTTTCTGCTTTTGATGGCATTCAAGAAAGTACTGCAAAAGCAGTTTTTAATAGTTTAATTTTCTCAATATAAAAAAAAAAAAAAAAAAAAAAGGAAAAGAAAATTCATAGTGTTCAGATTCAACACTTCTTACTAGAAGCCTTAGATAAGCATTCACCAGATGCATCACACTCCTGTTTTATATAGAATGCAATGAGACATTATTAACTTGATCATGCATGAGTATAGTCAGCACCTTTCTAATTATAGGAAAGTTTGACCCATTAAACTGATCAGAAATATTTGTATATCCGCAAGCATTCACAGCAATTTATTTTGAGCATATTGCACTGAAATATTTACTTATGCTTTCTGAAGCTGAGCATCCCTGACACTTTCGAGACCTCAATATCTTGAATTTTTCAAATCATTGCTTTCCTAATCAAGGAATAAAGAGACATAAAAGCTTCATTTAATGAAAATAATTTAGAAGCAGATTTTTTTGACGAGAATCTAAGCACAGAAAACCCAGAGTACTTTTAATCCTTGCCCATATTTTAATTTAGGTATTGAACTTGGTTACATTTAAAATAGATTTCAGCACATTCTCTCTGAGAAAATATTACAGTCACACTGAAATTTTTAAA